ATGATGACGATAATGATAATGATGATGATAATTCGATAATTAATAGAAATGATGATGATAATAATAATGATGATAATAATGATAATAATAATGATGATGATAATAATAATAATAATGATGTTAATTATGCTGATGATAATGATGATGATAATTTTGATATTGATGATAATTGTAATAATAATAATGATTATAATGATGATGATGGTGATATTAATGATATAATGATAAGAATATTGATAATGACGATAATGATAATAATATTGATAATCATGATGATAATAATAATGATAATAATGATGATGATTATGATGATCACAATAATCATTATAATAATAATAATATTTTTTATTAAGATTACGATGATTATAATAATAATAGTGATTATAACGATGATAAAAATGAGAATAATATAAACGATAATTTTGCTGTAGATATCAATGATAATAATAACAATGTTGATAATAATTAAAAGAATGATGATAATAACACTAATGATGTTGATGATAATAATAATGATGATAATAATGTTGATGATAATAATTATAATGAAATTGGAGATAATGATAAAAATGATAATAAAAGTAATAACGATTTTAATAATGATTATCATAATGATGATTCTGATGATGGTAATCGTGATTAAGATTACGATGTTGATGATAATTATATTAGTTATACTGATAATCAAGATGTTAAAGATAATGATAACGATGTTAATTATTACGATAATAGTTATAATGATAATGATGATGTTAAAGATAATGATATTAGAACTAAAAATATTAATGATAATAATAATGTTGATGATGATGGTCATGATAATAATGATAATAATAATGATGATGATGATGATGATAATGATGATGATGATGATAATGATGATGATAGTTACAACGATCATGATAATAATAATGCTAATGATTGTGATCATGATAATTATGATAATAATTATGATGATGATGATGATGATGATGATGATAGTAAAGACGATAATCTTGATAAAAATAATGTAGGTAATGATGATACAATAATGATGATACTGACGATAGTATAAATAATAATAATAATGATGATGATAACGGTAATGATGATAATAATAATGATGATAACTACAATTAGTATGATAAAGATAATTATAAAGATGTTAATAATGATGATAATTATGACGATAACGATAAAAATGATTATAATGATAAGAATGATAATTATGATAATGATAATTATGATAATAATTTTTATCAAGATTATATTGGTGATAAAAATAATATTGAACATTATAATTATGATAATGATAATTTTATACAAGACTACTATTATGTGATAATAATAATGATGATAATGATTATAATAATAATAATGATGATAATAAAAATGAAGATAACAATAGACATGACGATTTTTATAAGAAGGACGATAATGATTATGATCAAGATTAGGATAACGATAAAAATAATATTCATCATATTGATTACAAAAATAAAAATGATGTTACTTATAATAATGATGATGATAATGATGATGATAATAACAATAATGATAAGTTTAATTAAAATAACGTTGATGTAGCAAATTATGTTAATAATAATGATAATATTCATAATAATATTGAAAACAATAATCATGTAAACAATAATTATGATGATACTGACGATAATATTAATATAATGATGATAATGATATTTTTTTTTATTAAGATTACGATGATCAAAATATCAGTAGTGATTTTTATGAAAATTATAATAATAATTGTGATAATAGAAATTTTGAGTAAGATTACAATGATAATGATAGTAATTTTAATGATTACGATGATGATAATAATTAAACTGATGATGATCATACTGATGATGATGATAATGATCGTGATGATGATGATGATGATGATGCTGATGATGATGATCTTAGTGATGATAATGATGAGAATGTAAATAATCACAATTATTATGATGATGACGATGATGATGATGATGATAATCATTATAATAATAATTATGCAGTAAATAATGATGATAATGATTATCATGCTGATTGTAATTACAATGACGATTCTAATATTAAATGTAATGATGATAATGATAAAAATAATAAAAATCAAAATAATAATGATAGTGATAATAATAGTAACACTGATTAAATTAGCAATGATAGTGATAATAGTAATAATAATTCACATTAGGATGATAATGAAAGGAATTTTTATAATAACGATAATTATAATTTTAAAAAAACTAATTATAAAATCATGGTAGTAATTATTATGATTATAAAAATGATAACAGTAATAGTAATGATAACAATAATTATGATAACAATGAGAGTTATAAATCTTATGATAAAGATAATAATAATTATTATCAGGATTACGATGAGAAAAGTAAAACTGTTGATTATAATAGTAATAATAATGATAGTAATGATGATTTTGATAATAATTATGATGATAATGATAATGCTACGGATAATGATTATAGAAATCAAAAAAAAGANTACTCATACGTACACACACATGTAGAGCGCGGCTCTCTCATAGCCATTATATCCGCCATCTTTTGATCGACGATTTTCCTTAGTTAACGTTGGTGTTGTACTCACATGTACACACACACATGAAGCGCAGCTCTCTCACAGCCTGTATATCAGCCATTTTGTGACTTAGTTCTTTCTTTCGAGTACGTCATTTCTTCGCCTACGGTGAAGTAATATCTCACCATTGCTACAATTGCTGCAGGCAGGCCATGCCTGTTCCACCAGCTAATTAGTTCTACCATCCAGTCTACTTCACCTGCATGAGCTGCAAGCCCTCTACACCTGTAGAAGGCTGTCCATGCCTGCCCCACCCGCAAGTTAAAGTCGCCTGCTTGAGCTGCAGGCCCTCTACACCTCTAGCAGGCTGTTCATGCCTGCCCCACCCGCAAGTTAAAGTCGCCTGCTTGAGCTGCAGGCCCTCTACACCTGTGTAGGCTGTCCATGCCTGCCCCATCCGCAAGTTGAAGTCGCCTGCTTGAGCTGCAGGCCCTCTACACCTCTAGCAGATCATCCACGCCTGCTCCACCATCCAGTCTACGTCACCTGCCTAAGCTGCAGGCCCTCTACACCTGTAGTAGGCTGTCCATGCCTGCCCCACCCGCAAGTTGAAGTCGCCTGCTTAAGCTGCAGGCCCTCTACACCTGTAGCAAGCTGTCCATGCCTGCCCCACCCGCAAGTTGAAGTCGCCTGCTTGAGCTGCAGGCCCTCTACACCTCTAGCAGGCTGTCCATGCCTGCCCTACCCGCAAGTTTAAGTTGCCTGCTTAAGCTGCAGGCCCTCTACACCTGTAGCAGCCCATCCACGCCTGCTCCACTAGCCAGTCTAGGTCACCTGCTTGAGCTGCAGGCCATCTACACCTGTAGCAGGCTGTCCATGCCTGCCCCAGCTGCTGTCCACATCGGTGTCTGCTAGTATAGCAAGCGATTCTCGACGCACGCTCTTGCAGTTTTTCTGTGGGCCACTTACGTCTGCTGCCGGAGCTGCAATATTGAATTCTTGTGCTAGTAGAGACTTTAAGTTTTGGAATTAGATCTTAGTTTTAGTTTTAAGTTTCTCGTTCAAAAATTAGTGTGTCGTTTACGTATATGGAAGATCTTTATGCCGCACAGACTAAATTGCACAAAAGGATTAGCAATTGCTTTGAAAACTTTAAGAAATCAGGTAGTGAAAGGATATCTTATGGTAGAGCAGAAGCTATGGTACAGGCTTTGAAAGATTATTTAGAAAGACTTCGTTAAAATCAACAAGTTATTCTTTTACTTACTGATTTAGATTATAAGCATTTATATTTTACTAGTGAGCTTTTTGATATTACTGAGGACGCGTACTATTTAGTATGGGGAGATTTTGCCGAGTGCATTAGATGTCTCCCTTCTGAAAACCCCCCGCCCGCTCCAGACTCAAATCCCACTTTGGTAGTTCCGCCCATTAGTAATTCTCACCTCTCAAGAATCGAACTTCCTAAGTTTACTGGTAAATATTCTGATTAGGAGAATTTTTAGGATACCTTTAGGTCCTTAGTGCATCGGAAAGCGGATATCGATAATATTATTAAATTCCATCAATTACGTACTCATTTATGTGGTGAGGCTTTAGACTTAATCAAATCAATTCGTTTAGCAGAACATCAATACTCTACAGATTGGCAAACTCTCATCGAATATTATGATAGTCATCGTTGTATAGTTAATATCTATTTGTCTAGCATTATGAATTGTAAGGCTATGAAATCTGAGTCTGGTACCGAGCTTAAATGGATTTATAAAGAAATGCTGAATCATATAGACTCACTTCAAGCTATGGGCCGTAACTTAGAAAGTAGCGATCTTTAAATTGCTCTAGTAGTTAGTAGGTTTGATGCTTCAACAAATAAAGATTGGCAAAAGTTTCTCGGTAGTGAGTCCTTACCTCCTACTCTAACTCAATTAAAGCAGTTTCTAAATTCTCAAATCATAACATTAGAGGCTTGTGAGAATTTATCAATTAAACTTCAACTTAGCAAAGTTAGTAGTAAATTTGCTATTGTAACTTCTCATTAGTCAAACCTCGATAGTAAATTAGTAGCTAGAAATGTTACTTTGCAAAGCTCTCAAAAGTGTGTAGCTTGTCAAGGAGATCATTCTCTTGGTAAATGTGAGTCACTCAAGACCTTTTCACTAGATTATAGAAGAGATTTAGTTAGTCGACAACGGTTGTATTTTAACTGTCTGCGTAATCATTTGATTAAAAATTATAAATCCAAGGGCACTTGCTTAACCTGTAAAAGGAACCATCGTACACTGTTGCATATTTCCAAACCCCAGCAGGTTGAATCTTCTGAGGCTTCTCAAGTCATTGATTCTCATGCACTTTCGTCTCAACATTGTGAAGTACCTCAAGCTGTCCATCATAGTCAAGATTCTCTCTCTAGAAGTATTGGTGTACTATTGGCCACTGTTCGTCTCTATGTCCTGGGCCCCACAGATATTAGATTGATGGTAAGGGCTTGGGTGGATCAATGCTCCCAGTGTTCAATAGTTTCTGATGCTCTATGTACATTGTTAAAACTTAAACGTCAATGTTTAAATATCCCAATTAGTGGTTCTGGTGGTACTTCAGTTGGTATAGCTAGGAGTGAAGTTGAATTTACTATTTCGCCTAGGTTTCCTTCAGAGTTTAAGCTGTCCATCACTGCTAAAGTATTATCTCGAATTTCTTAACATCGGCCACCTGTTTATCGTTGTGTTTCAAGTTTTAGTCATTTGGAAGGTTTAGAATTAGTGGATCCTTATTACACAAGTATGGATAATATCGATATTATACTTGGAGCTGATGTGCATGCTCAAATAGTCGAAGGGTCAGTCCGGAAGGGCAAACCTAATGAGCCTATTGCTACTTGTACTTTATTAGGGTGGATTCTCTCAGGTTCTATGGGATTCAAGGAAGCAACTAGTGGTAGTGCAGTTTCTTTGCATTGCGCTGAAGAGGATCAACTTATTCTCTTGTTGAAGCGTTTTTGGGAAATAGAGGAACTCCCTGCTGATCCAAATTCTCTTTGGACAGGGGATGAAAAAGCTTGCGAACAACATTTTATTGACACCCATTACAGAGATAGCACTGGTAGATATGTAGTTAGACTTCCATTTAAGACTGATCCGAAACCAGTAGTTAAAGAACGTGATGCCGCTAAGACTCTGTCTATCACTATGCAGAAAAATTTAGAGCGTAGATTTCATAATAACTCAGTATTGTTTGATGCTTATAGTTTGTTCATGCGTGAGTACATCAATCCTAATCACATGGTGAAGTTAAAACTCAATGAGACCAATGATTGTTGGTTCTTACCCCACCATGGAGTAATTTAACTTGCAAGTACAACTACAAAACTCCGTACCGTCTTTAATGGTTTAGCTAAATTCAAAGCGAGCATCTCTCTGAATGATTTACTCCATGTTGGGCCCAATTTGTTGTGTAATCTTTTTGATCTTATTACTTTTTGGAGATCTTAAAAGTTAGTTTTTTCGTCTGATATAGAAAAGATGTTTCGTCAGGTTTGTGTAGATGAGATTGATCAGAAACATCAGTGTATCTTTTGGCGCTTCTCTAGTTTAGAACCGCTTTTAGCATATCAATTGAAAACCGTGACTTATGGTCTAGCTTGTTCTCCGTACCTAGCTTGTAGAGTGATCAAGCAGTTGGCTAGTAATTATGAATTTGAGTTCCCTTTAACTTATCCCATTTAGATGAAAGAAATTTATATGGACGATGTTTTGTCAGAAGCTCATAGATTAAGTGACGCAGTTGAGAAATGAGATCAGCTCTCAAAGGTTATGTCATTGGGTGGTTTTTCCCTTAGGGAGTGGTCTTCGAATGATCCAGATGTTTTGGCTGGTTTGCCCAGTACACTTTTAAAATCTTCGCCCATTATTCTATTGAATGAAGGTGATTCTTTGGTAGAAGTGCTCGGCATCGTCTGGTATCCTAAAGAAGATGTTTTTAGTTTTCAAGTTAAATTTCCTTTAGTACCGATATCATGGACCAAAAGAGCTGTACTCTACCATATAGCTAGATTATACGACCCACTTGGTTGGTTACGACCTGTTGTTATTTTTGCTAAAATTTTCATGCAATCTCTGTGGCTTCTTAAATTAGAATGGAATTCGTTGATACCAGAGAACTTATTGTCAGACTGGCTTCATTGGTTTCAAGAAATCCAATTATCGAATCAAATTAGAATTCCTCGTTGGACTCAATTTTCACCAGTTGTTCAAGCTATAGAGCTGCATGGTTACGCTGATGCTTCTAAACTAGCCTATGCAGCTGTTTTATATTTGCGTGTTGTTGCTAATCAAGAAGTTTATGTTTTACTTTTATCGGCTTAAACGAAAGGAGCCCCTCTTAAAACATTAAGCGTTCCGAAGCTTGAACTTTCTGCTGCCCAATTGTTATCAAAGTTAGTACACCATTACAGTCAAAGTCAGGACCACAGAGTAGATGCAGTCCATCTGTGGTCTGATTTAAAGGACGTGTTGTGTTGGTTAAGTTCTCAGCCGTCTCGTTGGCCTACTTTCGTAGCTAATCGTTGCAGTAATATCATGCAGTAAGTTCCTACAGCTACGTGGCACCATGTTTCAGTAAGAGCAATCCTGCTGACATAGCCTCTAGAGGCGTTTGTCCCGCTCAGTTACTGGAGAATTCGTTGTGAATCCAAGGACCTCTTGAGATTCATCAGCTATCCACATAGTATCCTGTTTTTACTTCAAATAAAAATTATGAAGTTCCTAGCGAAGCTTCTGATGCTGTCTCTCATCATCAAAGTGCTAAACCTTAAACTTGGGATCTTTATTATCGATATTTAACTCTAGAAAAGCTTTTAACAATTACTGCTTATTGCCTTGGATTTATTTATAAGCTGTGTGTTCGCATCTTTAATAAGTCTCAATTAGATTTTTTAAATCAAACTGTCATAATAAATAGTTTTAGTGCGTGCCCTACTGTTCCTGACTTTTATAATGCTAAACTCCTGATGGTTCATTTGCATCAATTGATTCATTTTACAGCTGAATTTCATTCGCTCGATTCAGTCACTCATTCTATCAATAAAGTTAAGCTCAAACTTCCGTCAAATAGTTCGTTGATCCCGTTAAAACCGTTCGTCAAAAATCAACTTATTAGAGTGGGGGGTCGTTTGAGTAATTCGTTGCTGCCATTTGAAACGAAGCATCCTTTAGTGTTGGCGGCTCGCGATCACTTTACTGAATTGGTCATGAACTATGCTCATAAGATCACCTTGCATGGCGGTCGTCAACTTACTTTGAGTACTATTCGTCGGAAGTTTTGGATTATCAGGGGACGACAAAGGATTTATTCCGCTCTTCTAAATTGTATCACTTGTATACGGTACTCTGGCCCTACCTTAACTCAACAAATGGCAGATTTATCTGGTGCTCGAGTTCAACCTGTACCCGCATTCTTAAAGACTGGAGTGGATTATGCCGCTCCATTTTTAGCTAAGTTATCTAGATCTAGAAGTAGAGGTACTACCAAAGGTTACGTAGCCGTTTTCACTTATATGTGTACCAGGGCTGTTCATTTAAAAACAGTTGCCGATGATAGTTCTGACGCCTTTATTGCTGCCTTCCAGCGTTTAATTTCTCGTCGAGGCCATTGCTTCGATCTGTATAGTAATCGTGGTACTAATTTTGTGGGTGCTGAGATTGAATTGCGTAGAAGGTGGTACGAATTTAAGGAGTCTAAATCTTTTCAGTATCAAATGAGTTCCTAGAAAACTCAATGGCATTTTAACCCTCCCACTGCTCCGAATTTTGGTGGAGTCTGGGAATCAGTTGTAAAGTTAATGAAGCATTACCTTCGGTGAGTAGTTGGTAATCAGATTTTAACTTTTGTCGAATACTCCACATTGCTTTGTAAGGTCGAAGTTTGTATGAATTCGCGACCTCTATCTCCTTTAAGAGATGATCCTAGTGATTTAGACGTTTTGACCCCTGCCCATCTGCTTAATCTAAAGCCAGTGACGCTGCTACCGGAGCTAGATTATACTAATGTTAAAATTTAATGTTTGCAACGGTGGAAGTTAATAACTCAACTTTCTCAGCATTTTTGACGTCGTTGGTATCAGGAGTATCTTACGAATTTGCAAAGTAGCTCTAAATGGTATCATCCACAGAGATCATTAGAGGTAGGCGATTTCGTTTTGATTAAAGGTGAGAATACTCCTCCTACTTGTTGAGTGTTAGCTTAAGTTGAGAAAACTTTTCCTGATCTATTAATTCGCACTGTTCGAGTTCGCACTGCTACCTCTACCTTTGTCCGACCAATTTCCAAGCTTGTCCTTTTAGGAAAAAATGAGGATTTGTAGTTAGATTATAAATCTTCCTTCTCCTCTCGACGAAGCAAGGAGGGAAAAATGTTTAAAATTAAGGTCATAAGATTTAAGTTTACGCGCTTGATTAAATCTATCAATCAGCCACACTAGTACGCCGAGCTTCCAGACAACCAATCGCAATGCACCGCGTCTCTTTAGTTAGTCAATAGCTTTGTAAAGTAAGCAGCAGCTTGCATTTAAGATGTAGCTGCTCGATAAAATAGCCAGTTCGTACTTGGCCTTTGAGCAAAGTGCATGCACCTCTGCACGAGCACACTCATACGCCTCTTTTCAAAGTTTTACACGCGCACTTTAACGATCAATTTACTGCCATTCTTTATAACTCAATTACTTCTATTGCTTCTCACTTCGATTGCTCCGAATCTTCACCTCAGAAAAGTAAAAGAGTTGTATCAAAATTTTTAATTTGGTGTTTCTATTCAATAAATACGTTTAAAAGTGTTAAATATAAATCAGTCTTATGTACTTAACATAAAAACACACTCACGATCCAATACTCAACGATGATAAAAATGATAATTATAATAATAAAGATAGTATTGACGATTATAATATTAATAATGATCACGATAGTAATGATATAAAAAAGATGATAATGGTAATAATAAGGATAACAATGATGATGATCATGATAATAATAATGATAATGATGATAATGATTATAACTTAGTAATTATGATGATGATGATAAAGATGTTCATAATGACGATGATCATGACGATAGTAATAATAATGATGATCATGATGATAATTAAAACAATGATAATAATGATAGTGATGATGATAATAATGATGATAGTTATGATAATAATATTAATGATAGAAATATCAATTATGATAATAATAACGCTAATGATCATGTTCATGAAGATAATAATTATAATAATGTTAATAATGACGATAGTAATAAATGACAATAATCATAATACTAATGATAATAATGACATAAAAATAATGATGATAGTGATAGTAAAGATAATGATAATAATAATAATAATAATGGTGATAGTGATAACAATAAATATGATAACTTTAAAGATTTTGATTATGGTAATAATGAAGATAATCATGAAGATAATAATTTCAACGATACTCATAATGATAATAATCATGATAATAATGATAGTAATAGTAATAATAATAATTATTATTATTAT